ACGTAAGTGTAGTCATGCTTAGATATGAGTGCCGTGTACTAAATCTAAATAACGTATACGTTAACAAAAATCTTACATGGTTGTGGTTGATGGTTGACCCTGCACGTCAATGATTTCAAAAAAAACCATATAAGATGCGTGCATGGCGCAGCTCAGGAATTACAAGGCCCGAACGGTTAATGTGCAGCTCTTGTTTTTGCTTTCAGTGGTGTGATTGGTTCCCTAGAAGGCTTGTTTGACTTTGGTGAGATATGATCCCTGCTGCACGTGTCCGGTAGCGGCGTCACTTGTTCTCATTCCTCTCTTGACACATGAAGCATTCCAGGATGATCAGTCCTTTGTAGGATGCGCCATAAATCTACTCCCACTAAGAGTTGTTGAGGCTTCTGACTACATACGATTTGGCTTGCAAAATGATTTGCGGGGCAAATGTAAAGTCAATATTTTCTTATTCTTCTGGACAAGTCTTGTAGCTACTGTCCACTTCGGGGATGAAAGGCTTTGTTGGGGTGAATGGCTACCCATGGTTTGATCCGCAGATCTGCGCTTGGTGAGCGACGCTACTTGCCACTACACCACTTCCATGCTGCACATTGTGCAATATAACGAGCGAGATCACCTAAGATATAAGCCAACGAAAACACGTCGTCGAAAGGGAGTAGTCTAGTGGAAAAAGCACCACCGTCCAAGCATACTTCGCGAACCACTTAATTTGGGTAAATCATAGTTTAGAACTTCATCGAAAAGCTCTTGGTAGAAGAGGCCGCACCCGTGTAGGGCCAACAAAATGTATTAGCGCAGGGAAGCTCATCTAATAAAATATCGAGTTTTGTCAGGGGTGAGACACTGACAAAGAGGCTCCACTTCATTGTTGATGTACATGTTGAAGAGCGCTACGATATCAGGCACCCGATTATTTCTGAAAAATTTCAAGACGTGAAAATCTGCTCCTCTCTTTCTTTCTCTGATTTCTTCCTCTCATGGAAGTATACAATGACCCGGCGTTCCCGAGGAAAAAGTTGGCGAAGGCTCGAAATAAAGCTAACACCGTTACAGTTGCCGTTATCTATGGTATCATGAGAAACGTACTCGTTTGTTAGTCCTTATACTTGTACCATTACTTCCTTACACTTAGTAACTCAGTTAGGGACAGAGTAAGTAGTACAGTATTATCTCTTACCCTTCAGCACAAGAATGCAGATACTTGGTACATTTTACTAGATGTATCTCCCTGGCAGGTTCTACTATACTAAAGAAAGAAGTATGCCCTCAGTAGCTTTCTGGATGCTCGGTCCACGTGTATACTGATAGCAAGCTTCCTCTCAGAGAGCAGAGTTGAAGGCAAGGATCACGATGGCAGGGGGTGGTGCGGTTTTTGCAGATCTTATTGAACGTCATTGGTGGAAGGGCGCTAAGAGGCGGTTTTCGTCACCACACCACTGGGTA